AGACTTTCTTCGCAGCTGAACTACGACTAACCTTCTCCACAAAACCTATGATTCATGTGAACGTGAAGGATAAGCTACCGCTGCTGGCCTCATCAATGTGCATTTATCAATTCACCTGCTCGTGTGGAGCCAGGTATGTTGGCCGTACCCAGCGCTCGCTTTCCAAACGTATCACCGAGCACTTACCAGCATGGTTTTATAAAGGAGAAAATCGATGCCCCCGCAGTTCCATCTTAGAACATCTGATCGAATCCGGACACCAAGCTACACCGCAAACAAACTTCAAAGTCGTCTACAGAGTAAGAAGTAGTCTCCCCAAAGGTGTACGAATCAGACTTCTTCAAACTGCAGAAGCAATGGCGATCCACTTGCTAAGTCCTGAACTCTGCATACAGAAGAAGTTCGTTCAATCACTACACTTGCAATGGACGTAATCTATCTGATTAGCCGACATGTAAATTCTACCTAATCTTTTCTTCTGTCTCGTCATTAGTATTATTTTGCTTTCTCAATTGTAACATTTTACAATTTCAACTTTCTTGTTCTCTACCCCCACCCGATTCAATCTCTACACCCCACTACCACTGTTACTGACCTGAACAACGCTCAGTTTCTAGTCATTCATGTTACGTCATCCAACTTATTCACTCAATTTCACTTCTACTTAATCTCTACCTGTAATTACCTCTGTTGCTATCCTGACCTAAGTTGTAACATTTTAGCCAATTATATTACGTCATCTAGTTGTTTTTTTTTTTAACTCAGTCTTACTTTAGTTGCTGTCTGATTAACTTTGTCTCTATACTACATCATTCTTGTATTAACTAATCAATTATCTAAACTTGACAAACCTCATGTACACACACACACACACAAATATTTATATATAAATGCGATTGTACAGCTATGTGAATGAATTCGCCGAAAAGAGTCTCTTCGCTGAATGTCTTCTCTTTTTCATAAGTCTGTTTTCTCACCTCTTAACTCTTTGTTATATATGTGCTGAGATTTTGTAAATTCTGGTATAATAATACTTTGATAAAGCTATTAGCATTAAATAGCGAAACGTCAGCAAAACACAACAATATCGTTTTGTTTTTCACTCATTGGGAAATACAAGAAAACCTTTATTATAATGAATATCATATACCCAATGCCGAAATTTTTTCAAACTGTTAAAAGTGAACTTGGTTTGGACATATATAAATAGCATTTAATACATATAAGAATAAAGTTTTTAAGAGAGGCTATGCAAACATTTAGCTTTAAATGTGTGGATTATAAGTTGAGTCTCTGTTTCATGTATAGATAAAACAAGTAGCCGAGCAGCTCTTTGCTGAGTTTCCCCATCGATATTTTCATTTCTAACCACAAGTTTAGTTTTTTTTTCTGAAGGTCCATATATTTATTTATGAATAGTGAAGTCATACAAAATTGTATCTTTTTATTGAGTAGTCACAAGGAAATGTATTGTTTGACAGGGAACATCATGTCGGATTTAGAATAACTATTTGAAGAAAAAATGGCAAATATAAGGAGTGAAAATGTTCACACTAAATATATATATACCTCATAAAATTCCAAAACGACACTCGGATGCTCTAACACTGAGCTACACCCCCCAATTGCTTAGCTCGAGGCCTCGCTGAGTGACTCGAACTGCTGCACATCTGTGCAAAGTTCTATGTTGTAATCAAACAGACAGAACAACACTCGATGAACTACTTTTGCAAATAGTTGTTCTGATCTGCAGATCCAGAGTTATCAGTGCGAAAATTTAGTGTATATGGTACACAATGACGAAGATTCGAAAAGAACTTGAAGTACTGCAGCATGATTAAGCCTCCAGTCCTACAAATTTATCCTCGACTCTTTGTAAAAGTAGAAGTGAGGATGGTGATATGCACGTTGTTTTATCGGCTTCAGTGCAGTGGTAAATTAGAACAACCACCCACGTTGTCACTGGTGACTTAGAATCTATCAGACGCTATTTCTCCAATTCGGTCTTGTAATTTTGGTGAGTTAAAAGGGGGGGGGATTTACGACTGATCGTTCAACGCCTAAGCTATCTGAGGAGATAGTCTTAGTTCGGATGGGGGGGGGTGAGGGACAGACTCGTAAGATAATCAAGGAATGATCAAATATAAAAGTGGTTTTCATCGTGGTTTGGAGTGCGTTGGAGGGTCAGTGGCAGAGTGCTGGCCGAATATGCAGGTGGTCCGGGGTTCAAGGCCCGGCCGGCGCACACCTTTACCTCCCTTAGCCGGTTATAATCCCGTCAGAGAGGGGAGGTTGGGCGTGAGACGAGCTACCACACCCCGTAAGAAAACACCACTACTACTGAAACTTCGAAGCTAAAACTTGAAGCCCTATGTTCCACTGGAAACGCAAAGGAATAAAAACAAAATCATGGTCAGAAATGAAATCTCTGAATTCCTTGGAACTTCGGTTATGTATAATCCTGGCGAATTCAGGTTTGCATCAAAATTTATGGAGGGATGTCGGTTTATTAATTTTTGAATTTTGGCAATATTTTGTGTGTAATAACACATTTTATTTCTTGCAATTAAATCGAAAGATATTTGAATTTGTGTGTACACTTATTGATTTAATAACCGTATCGATCGTAGTTATAGAAAAAATCTATAGAATGCGAAATTTTCCCCGTGTAAAACTCCACTTTCAATCAATATACAAAATAGGTGTTCTCAAGAGTTGAATGATTGTTTTTTTCTTATATATATACACAATTCCAACCATTTTTAATATTCACACAACAAGTGGTATGTATGGCTTACGCTCTAATAAAAAAATAGGGCTTGTTTATACTGGATCAATATTTTATTTTGACACGATAGGCGTATGCACAATGGAAGCAACTCATTATCTTGAGTTGTTTTTTCTTCTATTGATGTTTATTCTCACCTCTTTATTTGTTGGTTTTTTATTGATTGGTCGTCTTATGAATGGATCTTATATATTACATCGATGTATGTGCACGCCTTATATACACTGATATCTAATGTTCTTGTGTGTGTGTGTTGTTTTTCACACCCTTAGTGTCCATTTATTGGGGCTTCTTTCGTTTTCTCAGAAAATATTGTTAAAGACTTGGCTTTGACAATAATACATTTGTATATATGTATGTATATATGTAGTGCGTCGGTGGCACAGTGGTAGAATGCTCGCTGACCACGCAGGTGGTTCCAGGTTCGATCCCCGGCCACTGGACGCACTCTTTTAATTCGTCAAGCCAACAATAGGACTGGTAAAGAGGGAAGGTTGGGTATGAGGCGGCTAGCAACCCCATACCGTAAAAATAAACGCCACTGCTACAGAAACTTCAAGTCACTAGCTTGAAGCCGCCCTATGTTCCACCACTGGGAACGTGAAGAAATAAAAAAACATTTTTTTTTAATTATGAAAAATGACGATGAAGATAGCCAAGTGATTCAAACAGGCTACCAAGATGTAGGAGTTAACTGTTGTTATTGTTTGCTTCAAGTTTGCTCAAGGATTGATATCAGTTAGAGAACTATTGCGAAAACCAGCACTAGAGTACTCACTCCTAAAATATGGTTAAGATATGTAGATGATACTTTTGTAGTACTAAAACGAGATCTACACAGTTCATTCTTGGACAAGATAAACAGTCTATCTCCCAGAGCATCCAGTTTACTTCGGAGGCAAAATCAGACGTCGGTGAACTACTATTTCTAGACTGCCTGCCTAGTTAAGACGAGGGAAAACGGATATTTTCGTACATCCATATTCAGGAAGAAAACCCACTCAAATAAATATTTAGACTTCAAATCATCACACCTCACCAGCGCAAAGATTTCAGTTGTTTCATGTCTTCTAAGACGAGCACACTCTCTGATAACCGATGAGAAAGAAAAAGAAGAAATATCAAACATCACTGAGATTCTCAAACAAAATAACTACCCAAAGAACTTCAACAAAATCAACACTGACATTAAGTATGATCGAAAACGTATTCCGAAAAAATGAACCTCAACAGTTGTCATTCCATATACACCAGAGACGTCAGACAATATCAGAAGAGTACTCAATCAGCTTGACATTAGAGTTTTCTTTAAAACATCAGACACTAGAGGGCTACCTTGTCCGTATAAAAGACCAAATCCCTGAAGATTATCTAATTGTGTCTATAAAATAAAATGCTGGGATTGTGATGCGATATACATCGGACAAACATGGCGAGAAATCAAGGTAATCAGAAGAAATGAACACCGTAGAGCCGCCTCTGTTCGACCGCTGAGAAATCCAGTTGAACTAGAAAAGCTTGAAAAATCATCAGCCACGCTATAGAATCAGGCCACAAAATTGACTTAGACAATATTGAAATAATCCAGAAAAATTCCAGAAATCACAATGAACGTCTCATATCAAAAGGAATCCAAATTGTCTGGACTGAATAGGAATGATGGACTAAAACAGAATTTGACCTGGTTACAACACTCCACACCGCTCCCCCATGAAATGACAAAATCAACACGAATGTGATAAGCAAGTTCACTATGTAAACGCACACTGCTTTTATAGTTTTACACACTGATCAAATCCAACAATCTACACTTGGTTCTGCTATCTTTACCAATCGGCCAATTTGACAACTGAAAAATGACGCCATGCTGAGGAACAATGATTAAGTTGTTATATATAAGCTGAGTGGATTTTGTAAATTCTGGTTTGATAATGCCACTTTAATAATGCTATTAGCACTAAATAGCGAAACATCAGTAAAAACAACCCTATCGTTTTGTTTTTCATTCATTGGGAAATACAAGGAAACCTTTATTATATAATGAATAACATGAATATATTTTTCACCAAGTACTATACTTGGTAATAGTTTGTTTTGATCGAAGTAATTTTATGTTTTGTTTTTTCTGAACTGTCAAAGTTATAATAATAATAATAACAACTAATGTAAGCCCACGTTTACATCTAATAATAGCTGTCTGTTTCACTTTTAGATTTCTGAATTAATCGATAGTTATCGTCACTTGGCCGTTCAAGAGAAGGAGGATCAGGAGTGGAATAAATTTGCACGGAAAAGAAATTATATGATTCTACTGGTAGGCATTTGCTTTTCCTATTCGCTATTTTATGTCACTGTTTTTTATCATTATGTGTTCAATGAGTCTAAGGATATTTTTGACAACATTTCAAAGTCTGTGTGCCACACGGATATCGCAATAATAGTAATTATTATTATTATTACTACTACCATAGTTACTATTCCGTAATTGTTATCATCATTGGGTTCGACGTGGAACATAAAGCCTCAGTAGCACATCTCCATTGCACTGGGTTTTCTGCCATTTCTACGTGGCTTTACGCCTGCCGTCCGTAGTCGAAACGATACTGTTCACACAAGTGAAATAGCCGACTTGCTTAAGATTTCTTCAGTTGCTAGTGATCAGTGTTTGGTGTGGTTGTTTGTTGGACATCCTTATCAATTCTATCTCCTCTCCATTTTCATCATGTGTACTCCTGTCTTCACTGTCTTTTTTGTCAACAACTTGTTGTTGAGTTTCGTTTGTAAATCTTAGACAAGCATGAATGGTCTACGGAGTGGAGATCTCGTAGAGTGCTTTGTTGTCAGTGAAACGTATGCCCATCGTCCCACTCCCCGCTCCTCACGTTGTTGGGCTGCTTGGTCGAGTCGACGACAATGAGGAATCTCATTGGCGGCATTAGACAGCCCTGTCTTACTCCTGTCTGTGAAGGGGTTGCCTAAGGTTGTTGTTGTTGTGAATCATTTGGTGTGTATCATAAATATACAGCTGTTGTTGAATGAAGCGTTGAAATGTTTTCGACACTGCACGCTGTAGTGTTGAAGTGGATTGCAAATATCTTCGCCGTTAAACTTATGGTAGACGAGGCGGATGAAGTTGAGGTAGTATAGAGACTTGATTGGCATTCTCTGCGGCTGTAGTGGATGTTGATGTGTCGTATCACTGCAGTTTTGTTGGCATATGTTGATTTTTTTTTCTCCTTAATTCAGCTTGTTCCGGGGGAAGTTTCAGATTAAGAGCATCCTCCCTCTCTTCTGCTTTTTTGTGTGGTGAATGGAGAATGACTAGTGAAACTGCCGCTCATGTATGCAAAGTTGTGTGTTGAAACCAGTCAATCAATAGTGTGAAAATTCGAGGGAGTTGCTTCATCCCTATAGGTAATTGCCATATGCTGTCTTCGCGGTCATCATGAATTGGAAGTGGCATCTGTTTACTATTCAGTTCCTAACACACTTGATTGAAGGCCATAGTCATTCATTATTTCTTCTGACTGTGATTGTTTGAAATATTATACAAAGTTCATATTTGAAAACAAATCGTTCAACTTTTTTTTGTCCATAAGAATATTTAATACGATACTGTTATCATGTGTATCTGAATCACAAGAGTAAGAATAGTCACTTCATTTATTATGATATGTTTGACCCTAGTATTAAATTCTTAACATTTTTGATGATTATTCAGCAGGTATTTATTTGCTTGTTTTATTTTCTCTTCTAAGGAACGTTACCCTGTCTTAAATCCGCGCCTACGACGTTACTGTTCATCTTCGTGGACAACACCTCAGTAAGTAAATGCTTTAATGGCAAACTTTCTTTTCGATTTACGCCCTTATGACTTTGTGTGTGTGTGTAAACTGAGTGGGTTATTTTCAGTCGTGAAACTCTTTCGGTTATCATTTTATATCACATCGACTAGTAAGGTAGGGAAATCAGTCGACGAGGCTGTGAAATAACATCGACTGAGATGGTTAGGACATGTGTTACGTATGCGCGACTAGTCATCGTCTTCCTCGAAAACAGGCAATGTTAGCTGATATAGGGTCAGGCTGGAAAAGAGCTAGCGGCGGTCAAACGAAAACATGGCACCAGTCGATGAAATCTACAACAGTTAGTCTAAGCCAGACACGTAGGAAGGTGTAGACTTCCTGACCTGTTGGGGTCCTCGGGACGGTAAAAACCAATGGTTGGAAACAATTGGTGACATGGCTAGCTCAAAATCGTTCTCAATGGCTGGTTCAGATGCATCCACTCCTTGTGACTTATAATTTCCAATGAAACTATATTCTTCTTCGTTATTGCTATTCCTTTGTCTCACACCTCTGTTTACAGTCTCCGCATTTCTTCTACTTTCTTCTCTTGCTTTGTGTGCTACATGGAGTGTGGCGACTTGAATTGCCGTACATCGGTGCAAAGTTCTATGTCGAAAACAGACAGACATTTACGAATTCTGTATTTTAACTGACTGATTGACTGGTTTCAACATAGAACTTTGCACAGATATGCAGCAGTCCGAGTTGTCACACTCCCTCCACGTAGCACACAAAGCAAGAGAAGAGAGTAAAGAGAGATTCAAAAGACAGAGAGAGATAATAAACAGAAATATGCGGCAAAAAGAATAGTGATATAGAAGAGCAATAGAGTTTTATTGGACATGACAAATCACGAAGAGTGAATGCACCTACGCTGTCACTGACAACGGGGATTTCGAGTCATGTCACCAATTGTCTCTAGCCGCTGTCACTGGTTTTCACCATCCCTAGGACCCCAATGGGACTGGTAGTCCACATCTCCTGACGTGTCTGGTTAGCTTGAACTAACTGTTATGGATTTATTTCATTGACTGATGAAGCTATGTTTTTGGTTTGACCACAACTAGCTCTCCTACAACCTGATCGATCCTATTTCAGTCAGCTAACATTGCCCTTTGTCGAGGAAGGTAAGCGATGGCTAGTCTAGGCATGCGTAACACATGTTCCAACTATCTCTCTTAATCGATGTAACTTCACAACCTCGTCGACTGGTTTTCCCCCATCTCTTTACCTAGTACTCAACCGAAGCCTAACCCCAAAATTACTTGCCTTATAATACCACCAAACACGGAAGGTAAAACTCAGGCGCCTATGATCAAAGACAGCTAGCCAGCCTTTTGATGTTTTCCACTTTCAATGGCCATGTCTCACAGCCACAAAGGAGGTTGGATCGAATTGACTGCTGCTACTGAGCAGTACACACTCCTTTTAGTCGACACCCGGATGTCACATCTACTAAGCTAAAGATGGCGTATGTTGGTTGGCAAACGTCAATCAATATATGTGAATTGAATACATTTTAAGATTATTTCTTATCCTCTGATTTGACTGGTGATAATAATATCTTCCATATCTCTGGTATTTGAGTTGAGTCATTTCTGTTGCACGAGTCGGGTTTAGATCCTATGAACAAAGATTCAGTAATCAATCTCTCTCGCTTTCCACCTACCTATATTACTTTTTAAAATTTCAACCCTCTCCCACCCCATTGTGTGGTTGTGTGTTAATGCATGCAGTGCGATTGCTGAACTTTTTCTAAATTACTTATCTACGCGGGAACGATCATTGTAACCTTAGCTAAATTCTTATGTTCTGATAATCTCACTATCCCCGATCTACTACTGGTTTGACTTATGTAGTTGGCCTCACAGTCATTGTGATAACTCATCACTTTTGTTACTACCCTCTTTTATAAAAAAACATAATAAATGCGATTGTACAGCTAAGGGAAAAAATAAATTCGCCTGAAAAGAGTCTCTATCTATATTCAGTGAACTATGTTTTTTCTCATGTTTTTTATATTATAAATTTCGATTAATATTTAGCTGTATTAGCTGTATTCAGCATCACATTAAAGTATCCCTTATCATCTTATTGTGTTTGTGTTTATCCATAGACGAGAAAGTGGTCCAACTAAAAAGGTGGTAATTCCATCTTCTGAAGCTGTTTCCGATATTCCACCGCTCGATCTAGATGAATACATTAACCAACCATTGAATATCGATAAAAGTTAGTCTTTTGTTTCCACATTCTTTTAAGAGTAATAATAATAATAATATTCTGTATTTCAAAACAGCACTTAGACTACAGTGTGGAATTCTCAGCATTTGGTCCAATGGTACTTTCAATTTACTCGACAACAACGAAAACAAAAGTAGGATTAATAATAGCAGGTGTTTTGGCATTACCAGTGAAAATAAGGTGTGTCAGTGGCACAGCGGTAGAATGTATTCACCAACCACGCCATACGTGGTTCGGGGTTCGATCCCCGGCCATTGGACGCACTCTTTTACTTCGCTAAGCCAGTAATAAGACTGGTGAAGAGGGAAGGTTGGCTAGGCATGAGGCGGCTAGCAACACCATCCCGTAAAAAAATAAACACCATTGGTACCGAAACCTCAAGCGTCTAGCTTGTAGCCACCCTATGTTCCACCACTGGGAACGTAAAGGAATAAAAATGTGAGAATAAAGTCAAAAATGTACAGAAAGTGTAAAGTAATGATGATGATAATAATGTTAATATCTAAAATTAGGAGTTAATAAAAATAGTGCCACCATAGATTACAAATAGGAGGGAATAAAAGAGCCAATTAATTTTGCTAATAGCATATAGTAAGTCGTATGTGTTTCACGCTCAACACATTATATTCTATCACATTGACCGTGGGCGGGCCAAATATGGTATCGCTGTGTTTTTGTACTTAGTTGTATAGACATGTAATCTTTTATGATGACTTCTAGTTCCAACTGATGAGATGAAAGAAAGGCGAGAGTTGTGAATAGGGAGGGCGAAGTGTTGAGATTCAGACAGTATGGACTTAGATGATTTCTCACATGAGTTCAGATGTCTATCGACTACAGTAGTAATGAGCTGACACCAATTGCTCTACTGACGATCTTTAATACTCTGCGCAATATGACATCTATCTGTCTGTCTGTTTTCAACAAAGAACTTTGCACCGATGTGCATCAGTTCAAGTCAGCACACTCCCTCGTAGCACACAAAGGAAGAGAAGAAAGTAGAAGAAATGCAAAGTAGAGACAGTAGACATGGATATGAGACAAAAGAAATAGTAATAACGAAGAACAATATAGTTTTATTGGGTATTATAAGTCACAAGGAGGGGGTGCATCTGCGCCAGCCATTGGTTTCTACTGTCCCGAGGACCCCAACCAGGCTCTGTAGCTCAGTTGGTTACAACAATATGACATAGTCCTTTTTGAGTAGCAACCCAGTAACTCAATAAATAGTAAACAAATAGCTACCTGAGGTTCTCATGTATATTTTTATTGATTTATTTTTCTTGAAAAACAAATTGTTCTCATTAAACTCATTTATTTTTGTTCAATACACACACACGCATATACAGTAGTTGATTTTCAAGTGTGTAGTAACCTTAGTAACTGGTATGGGTTTTTTTCTCGGCGACCTGACACTCTCATTATTCATCATTGTGTATTTTTTAAAATTTCCAATGAAAAAATATATTACAACACTTTTATTCAAAACAAGCAACAAAAGGTGTTAATAAGAGAAGATCTAATGAATTCATCGAATTCAGGTAGGACTCTTCAGCTGGGTAGACACTGTCTAAATACGCGGATATAAAATTAAGATAAAATGTCTCTAACTGCAGCACAGGGTGACGTGGGTTCGAATTGCCTCAAAAGGGACATGAGTTCCTTCAAGGTTGCAGATACGCCTTGCTGACTGTTGAGTGCCAAATAGCACGAAACCAAGGCTTCCTGTGGCCAATTGCCTCCAACTATCTAATAAGATGAAATGTATTATGGTTCAGTTACATCACACTTAGATAAACAATTAGTTGTCAGTGAGTGAAAGAACTTGAATATATACATATCAAGAATTGCGAACTAAGCGATGTTGATAATCGTAGTAATGCTAATAATAGCAATAATAATAATAATGATAATAATAGTGTTAAAACGAGTTAAGATAATGCTACTGATAAAGGATAGTTTTAAATGGGTCAGGAATAATAATAATAATAATAGGTTGAGTAAAGCATATTACCATGGTAGATTCACAGTGACACCTGTCTGTCTGTCTGGATTTAACATAGAACTTGGCACCCAAGTGCAGCAGTTCCAGTTGCCACGTTCCAAATAGCACACAAAGGTAGACCAGAAAATGAGTGAAGAGAATCAATTGAGTTTTGACAAGTATAAGAGTGAAACAGAATGAGTAATGGTAGAAAGGAATATGAAAGATTACAGAGACTGAATACATCTGCGTAAGCCATTGACAAGGATTTTGAGCCATGTCACCTATTGTCTCCAGCCATTGATTCTTAGAGTCCCGAGGGCCCCAACCCGACTCCCTACCTGACTGAGTTTAACTGTCAAGGATTTCATGGATTGATGCCATGTTTTTGTTTGGCCACCACTTACTCTTTTCCAACCTGCACCTATATCAGCTAGTAATGTCCGTCGGGGAAGGCGATGGTTAGGCATGCGCAGCATGTGACCTAGCCATCTCAATCTATGTAACTTTATAGCCTCTTCGATTGATTTTCCCTCTTTGCCCAACACTCTACTCCTAACGTCAACATTACTTACCTTATTATACCACCTAACGCGAGAAAGAGATCGTAAACATCTGTGGTCAAAAACAGACAATCTCTTCATGTCTTCCGCTCTCAATGGCCACGTCTCACCGCCATAGAGAAGGACGGAGCGAACTGCTGAGCAGTACACACGTCCTTTGGTTAATAGCCGGATGTTACGCCTAAGCCAGAGACGGGGAGTGACCACCATTTCCTTTTGTACACACAAATCTGGATTATAAACTCTAATTACAAGAAGCCTCCTCTGCAATTACCAAGCATCTTCCTGTTTCCTTGATAGTCTGCTGACAACAGTGAATGAATTAGCCGTTGTGTCAATATTATGTCCGTGGTCCACGAGACGCTTCGTAGCACTTTGACTTCAGCTGTTTTCAACCACTGAAGCAAAGGCTCCATCATGCCACTAGACAATTGCCTTTCCGTACGACCTATGTATTTGCTTCCACAAACACACTCATCTCAGATTGATATACGGGGTTGGCAGTTTGAAGTGTTGAGGATCGGCGACTGGTCTTTCCCAGATTGTGTTGAAGCACTCACTTGGTAGTGTTAAGGAAAATGAGTTTTGCAGCATAATAAGTTCTCTTGATAATTTAATTCAATTTTAGATTTTCCCGTCGATTAATTGATTGGACCGAAGTGCTCAGTCTCAGGTTGACATGTGGGCTTCTTGTGCAGATGCTTCGACGATGTCTGATTATTCAACTTGAAGTAAATTATTGGTGGATGGTGACAGGCAGTGCAATCCAGAATGCGCATTTCATCCTATTTGGGACTGGCTAGTCATCTGGATGTACCTGCATTCCCCAGTCGGTGATGATGTTCCCACCACCGAGGCCCATAGTTTCAAACGCCAAAGCGGGTTATCCACTAGACCACTTATGGGCCACGAGAGCACATCCTGGATTCCACTGCTAGTCACCAACCACCAATGAAGTTCTCTTGATAGTTTTGTGGAGTCTTGCGTTTGACTACTTCTACCGAAATTTGATGAATTCATTAAATGGTGCTCTATTGACCCCTTTGTTGCTTGCTTTAAATTCGTATGGGGAAATAAATGTTTCCAGTTGTTAAAGAAGTGTCTCCCGGAAAGTATTTACCCTTTGTTTTTATGCAGATTTTGAAATTAGTCACTAATGTCCATCTAATTATTCTCTGGCACATTTTCATCAATTGTAGTTTTATGGTATTTCTTTTGTCAACTTTTGTGTGCCTCTTTAAAGGATATCAACCTGAACTGATGCATTCAGTCAGCCAATATGTGAGGCATTGGTTACCAGATATATAGTCATCAGCATATCTGTTCCACCATGAATGTGTTGATAGATATTTTAGATAACATACGCATTGAACGACCGACACATTTCACTCCATGGGAGTAAGTGAATCGGTAGAGATACCCATTGATGATTTATCTCGTCACTTATTAGAGTACATATATCTACATTAAATTTGGTATTCTCCTGCCGCCAAATGTTATCTAATAACACCAAAAAGATGAACTGGCATATTTGATCACTTCCAGATGTATCTGTTAGCTCCTAGAAGCCCGGTACTCAAACGAAAATGCAATTAACAAACACGTTAATATAGACGAAATATACCAACTAATAAAAAGTAAATCAGGTGACCAGAAAGTTTAAAATCCAAGTCAATAGAAAATGGTCAATACATATGTAAAGATAGTTACCAGGAGACACAATTATATCACTCATGAGGAAATTTAAATCATTTCACTTTATGCTAAATATTGCGCTGGAGATGTTGTCTAGAAGGACGACGAAAGCTCCGCAACTAAACCAACCAGCTCAGAGAAAACTATTAATTGCAAATCATCCACCTGAGCTACAAATCTTCTCTATTATCTGTTAATTCATTGGCTCCTGTGTATTTGCTTCCACAAACACACTCAAATTGATATACGTGGGTGGCAGTTTGAAGTGTCGGGGATTGACGACTGGTCTTTCCCAGATCAGATTGTGTTGAAGCACACCCCCATGGGGTGGTGTCAAGGCAGTTAAGGAAGTTCTGCAGCTTAATAAGTTCACTATGTATCGATTTTTGTACTTTATTGATTCTTTTCTTGCCATAGATAAATTACCCATCTCTTCTTCTTGTTTTTTTATTCACTCCATTCAATTACTTCCTCAAGTAACCAATATTCGTCAGCGTCATTTAGCACCACAAATTCAACCAAAGCATGTATCCCAATTGGAACCACGACCCAAAAGTTTAGTTGTTAAACGATCAATGCGTTGTCGTGTTTGTGAGCATAATTTATGCAAAGCTGATTTTAATCCAAGCTCTATTAAATTTCGAATTAACCTGAGCGCTATTTATCATGTCCCTGAACTGAGATATATTATCCCATCACCATCATCGGCGACAGCAAAAACAACTCCATCAGGCCAAATTGGAGTGAATGTGAACAAGCCTGACTTTCAACGGCGTACTTCTACAACATTGGTCGCTATGAAATCTGAACCTGTGGTACACGCAAACGCTGTGCCTGGTCAGGTAAGAGAGTTGTTTTCTTTTTTTCTTTTTTGAAGCACTTAGTTTCAAGGTACCAGTAGTCTTGTTTAAACCAGAACCTTCGTAAATATTCATATTTCTTAGGTTTGTGGGGAATTTGGGTAGGCATCTTCGCGAATTGTGTGATATATTAGCTGAACAAATATTACAGTTTGTGGAGATATATGTAGTGGACAAATTTTTCACTCTTTGGTTGCGGATATTCAGTAGTATAGACAACCACGATCCTAGGGAGGGATCATTGCCAATTGACGCCACCCTGAGTACTTTGCCATTGGATGTCATTGAAATAATAGAGAAGATTTGTAGCTCAGGTGGATGATTTACAATTAGAAGCGTTCTCTAAGCTGGTTGGTTTAGTCGCACAAGCCAGTCAAATCGCTTAATTCGATATTATGCAAACCGAAAGATCCAACAGAAAAAGGGGATAAAATTAATACCATCTACAAAATAAATTGTATGAACTGTAACAAGCATTATATCGGCCAAAGTGGACGTCCCCTTCGAATCAGAATCCAAGAACATAAATCAGCCGTGAAAAGACATGATATGTATTCTTTAGTATCAATGCATGCAGACAACTATGGTCATCAGTTTGATTGGGATCATGTCAAAATCTTAAACAGAGGAAACACGAAAAGTGCCAGAGAATTCCTAGAGGCCTGGTACTCAAGCGAAAATGCGATTAACAAACACGTTAATATAGATGAAATATACCAATTAACAAAAAGTAAATCAGGTGACCAAAAAGTTTAAAATCCTAGTCAATAGAAAGTGGTCAATACATATGTGAAGATAGTAACCAGGAGACGCAATTACATCACGCATGAGGAAATTTAAATCATTTCACTTCGTGCTAAATATGGCGCTGAAGATGTTGTCCGGAAGGATGACGAAAGCTTCGCGACTAAACCAACCAGCTCAGAGAACGCTTTTAATTGTAAATTGGATGTCATTGTTGTCTACTAGGCACCGGACTAGAATGAAACGACAGGGCAAGAGTGCTGCATGGCTTTTGGTGATGTCGGTACATGACGAAATTAACGTTTGTTTTGTTACAGTACTGTTTCGTAATTTATTTAAAGTAGCACCTGCCACAGTCGGTTAGGTTGACAGTTACTTCGATGTGAAGGAATGCGTACGAAGAAATATGAAATCAATTTCAAAAATAACATTGGTAGTGCTGTTCTTCACATGGTTTGAGGCATGCAGTCGCTGTGTTGAGACACTTGTGGTAAATTGCTTCACGATAACATATAAGGTGTTTACAGAATTTCATCATGAGCCTGACCATCGATTAGAGAAACATTGGAAAACCATCCAGGCAGTACTGGATATCCAGCTGTTTCGTCCGCCTGGTTTGGGACTCTTCAGTAGTAAACACCCACCGGGCTTCGAACCCTGGAGATGATTGCGTACCGTCGAACACTCCCAAACTAGGACAAAACAGCTGTCCGGTATTCCCTATTGGCTTTTCAATGCTTTTCTAACCGATATCAGCTCATGATGAAATCCTGTAACTAATCAAATCGTATCCTTGCAAACCAACACTTGAATATCAGTCTGTTGCTCACTAGCGACTGGCTTCTATTCAGATAGGTTGTTACCTGGGTTCTAGTGAGAAGTTGTAACGAGTGGGGCACCGCAGGTCGGGTGCCAGGACAGATATTCGCCGATGACATTAGCTAGTGGTCGCGACATATCGTGAACTAATAGAAGTTGGAATCCATGTACTGGTGAGTCCCAGTGGCTGAGTGCCTTGTAACCGGAAGTTCTAAGGTTGCAACCCCGGCAGTGTGGTGGGTGCGTACCGATGAAGAGTCCCAAACTAGGCTGACGAAACAGCTGGCTATCTAGTACTCCATTGGTGATTTTCTAATGGTTCTCTAACTAATGTCTACTCATGATGAAATCCTGTAAGCAGTCGAATCCCTGTTAATCGACGCTTGAACATAAGGTTTTTTATGGTTTGTTTTTTTACTTAACCTATGGTCATATTGAAATACTTCTCAGTCATTGGCTTTTTATTTACTTCATGTGGCACTCAGGCATCAAAACATGTGCGTTTTGTGCATAGTGATGAAATAGCATGTGTGAATGCATCTGCGCTGTCATTGACGATGAAGATTTTGAGCCATATCACCAATTGTCTCCAGCCGCTATCATTGGTTTTTATCATCCCGAGGACCCCAACCAGCCATCCGGTCTACACCTCCCTACTTGGCTGGCTTAAACTGACAGTTGTGGATTTCATTGACTGATGAAGCTATGTTTTGATTTGACCACTGATAGCCAACTCTTTTCCAACCTAACTAATCATATGTCAGCGGTTAACATTGTCCGTTGTCGAGGAAGGCAGGCGATGGCTGGACTAGGCATACGTAACACATGTCCTAATTATCTTAATCAGTGTGACTTCACAACCTTGTCGATTGATTTCCCTCCTTACCTAGCACTTGACTGAAGCCTAACCTCAGGATTGCTCACCTTATTATACTACTTAACACGGAAGATAGGATGCAGAGACCTATAGGCAAAGAAAGCTGGCTAGCCAGGCTTTTCATGTCTTCCACTTTCAATCAACGGCTATGTCGCACTCACAGCCAGCTATAAAGCAGGACAGAGCGGACTGTTGAGCAGTACATACACCCTTTGGTCGACAGCCAGCCGGATATCGCGTCTACTAAGCCAGAGATAGCGTAGGTTGGTTAGTAAATGCAAACCGCCCGTCTGTATCCGTGCTGAGATTCCGTCAGCGATCAGCCTGTAGGCGCCGGCTGATGCAACTTCCCAAATAAGTGAAGTGGTCAACACGCTCCACCAAACACTTCACTCCTGCCCGCCTATCTTTAAGCTAGCAGTGAGTTTGTGTAGTCCAGTCCTGTAGCATCGTGTTACATATGACGGGAGAAAATAGCATGCCAAACATTCGAAGATTCCTGTTCCGCAAGGTGTTCATAATAATCTGTTCTATTTTGTCAGTATCTTCACGTAGGAGGACTTTATCATCCGCATATTCTAAGTCAGCGAGATTATTCGCTGGTAACCAGTCAATCCCTGAAGTTATTTAGGGTTAAGTTCACTAGCACATAAATCTATGATGAAATTGAACAGAAATGGGAACAGTGGGCATTCCTAACGGACACCACTTGTTGTCACCACTTCATATGACAATCCTCTGTAGGCTTTCACCTTGTTGACTGCATGAGTTCAATTAGAGAGTCTTCGTCGCTGCGATATATTTTCTCGGCATTCCCTTCACAGCTAAACAATGCCATATTACCTCTTGTTTTGCATAACTGTACTATCTGGTGTGCTACCGCGTGCTAACTAACGTCACTTCTGGACAACATAATTTAAGCGTATTGCTCACTATACCCTATGTAATGCATTCTCATTCGCACTAGTTGAAGTTCAAGTAGTACCACAGTAGTTCAGAGAAAGATATATTTGCTTTTTCCTTCCTACCCTGCATGATTTAAAGGAAATCAATAATAGCTTCATGTTATGCTTTTTTTGTTATTTTTTTCTTTTTAGAAACTCAATCTAATTTTAACACTAGCTAATCCAATGCATCGGGTTACAACTGTATCACTGCGTCAGTTAACTGTAGCTGAAGAATTACAACACCTAGGACACTTGATAGTTGGTCATCACGGGACAGAAAAGTCATCGTCTACAATAACAAAAGTTGAGCCAACTTCATTCACCAGCAGTACTACCAGTGAACCACCAGTAGTTAGTTCTTGTGGAGATACACCTACACCGACTACGTCGACTGATGAACAGGAATCATGTTTTTCTACTGTGAATGTAAGTTCCCATTTTTACATACAAGTTTGTGACTAACTAGCGTATTCTTACACTACTAGAGTTTATTTCATATAGTAGAGCGAGAACACAACAAACATTGTGGGATGAATTGATTACATATGATTTCCTTAAATTGTGGTCTTAATCCTCCATATGTCCATTAATTTGAAGGATTGTGTACAATTTTGTGGTTTGAAGTAGTGACATTATCAGTAAAGTCAACACAAAATGAAGATAACCAACGGCAACAAAAACCAGCACGAGTCAACATCAATGGGAGAGATTTGAAAGAGGTTGCCTCCTTCACTTATCTAGCTAGGCAGCCAGCATCGTTTTAGCTACAGGTGGACAACGCGGATGAAGAGCCAGCAAGAATTGGAAAGGCAAGACACACACATTCACCACAGCATTTTTTATTTTTACTTTTTAATCCTTCACGTTCCCCAGTGGAACATAGGGCTTCAAGCTAGTGGCTTGGAGTTTCTGTAGCACTGTTTATTTTACAGGATGGGGTTGCTAGCCTCATGCCCAACCTTTCCTCTTCACCAGCATTATTTCTGGCTTAGCGAGGTAAAGGAGTGCGTCCAGTGGCCGGGGATCGAACCCCGGACCATGTGCATGGTCGGTGAGCGTCCTAACCGCTATGCCACCGACGCCACCACAGCATTAAACAATCGAATTCGGATTTTCAACATCAATGTGAAGTCAGTCAGTCAGTCGGTCACTTTTTCTGTATAGGTGAGAAACTTGGCGTGTGCGTCATGAAAAGCGTTTCGAACAGGCCAGCTGCCTTCGCTGGCTCCTTATTAAAGATCAAATGGCCAGTCAGAAAGAATTAGCAGCAAGAAACTCTGGGAACAAACCAACCAAGAGCTGATTGCTCAAGAACTATGCAGAAGAAACTGAACACGGATTGGGCACACGCCACTGAGGAGAGACCGTCGATTGACATCGCGCGTCTGACCATCGCTCGAGTGGAAGCTGAATGCGAAACGACGAGTGGGGTGTCACTTCGAGGGTGACATGGAGGAGATGAGAGACTATGGGAAATCATGGAGCCAACTAAAGATCACAGCAGTAAATAGAACAAAGTGGAGATGTGTTGTTGAAGCCCCTGCCTTCCACTCGGAACCCAAGGGAACAATAAAAATGATAATAATAAAATAAATCCCAATTAACCAGTACCGACAAAAGTACAAAGTGTTGTTAAAATGCCATACCATACTGTAAATTTGACTCAGACAAAACAAAATAATGGTCCCACATCATACTGATAAGTTTGTAGAGAATTCGCCATATTAGAGGGCAGCTAAAATATGATGGACATAGTACGATAAGAGGGCGAAATACTGGTGAAACAGTTGTATGTATACTAAATAACAAAATTGCCATATGGTAAATATAAAGGATAGTGAGAAATGTTAGAAAGATGAACAATGTTTAAAAGTAGAGTAAGGGGATAAAACAAATAACGGAATGGTAAGTAAAGAAACAATAAACTGCCAAGGCACAATTCATGCATGGTAGATCAGAAAATATCATTGTACATACAACAATAGGTTTCAGTCATTGGACAACTGGCGTTTCTGCATTCGGTAACTATTTTTTTAAAATCCTTTACGTTCCCAATGAAACATAGGGCTTCAAGCTAGAGGCTTGAAGTTTCGGTAACAGTGGTGTTCATTTTTACAGGATGGGGTTGCTAGCCAGCCTCATACTCAACCTTTCCTCTTTACCAGTTCTATTACTGGCTTAGCGAGTGCGTCGGCCGGGGATCGAACCCCAGACCATATGCGTAGTTGGCGAACATCCCATAGTAATTTACTATTACTCTGTTTACTTCCCGGATAGTTGTGTCACAGTCGATTAGATGACCTGTGTCAACAGTGTGTGTGTTTACCAAGAACACCGTTGAAATAGTCTTGTATCTCCTCATTTTTGGTGAGTGTTTGTCATCACACCTAGTAAGCTGAAAATCCATTCTGTATTTGTAAATGCTTACAAATGGTAAGTTTAATTTGTTGCATGAAATCTACCAAAGAATCCACCTACAGTTGATTCGATTATGAGTACGTGTAGTAAGTAGTGCGTCGGTGGCACAGAGGTAGAGTGCTCGCCGACCACGCAGGTGGTCAGGGGTTCGATCCTCGCCCACTGGACGCACTGCTTTACCTCGCTAAGCCAATAGTAAGACTGGTGAACAGGGAAGGTTGGGCATGAAGCAGCTAGCAACCCCACCCCATAAAAATAAACACCATTGCTAGCGAAACTTCAAACTAGAAGCTTGAAGCCGCCCTATGTTCCACCACTGGGAACGTAAAGGAATAAAAAAACGTGTAGTAAGTATTTCACTCAGTGTGCCGTTAGCTAACAGTTCCCTATTTAGGCTCACATCCATATAATCGATCTAAAATTAGTTCCATACGTGACCTATTTTCAGTTATACTTTGTGTGGACTGGTGTTTATCTTCGTCTGTTGTCGCTCTTGTATGACTATTATCATTATTATAAGTGTGGTCATTCCTCTCATCTGAATTGGCACAGTTATAGATTGTCGTTTATTTGGAATTATCATTAGGACTTTTTTCTAGATATATGCATATGGATCTCGTGATTAGAGTGTGATAAATGCAAATACAACTTCACGCTACTTCATGGAACTGTGACTTTTTGTATGCGCCTGCTTTTCTGACAGTTCCTTATCACTGATTGTTATAAATAACTGTATTCTGGAAGTAAATTGGTGGATGGTGACTAGCGGTGGTATTTAAGATAACGCGCACTTAATCCCACTTGGGACTAACTCGTCAGCTGGATATGCCCCAGTGAGTTAGTGATGGTGTTCCCACTGTGGTTGGAAACCCGGTACCCATAGTTTCAAACGCCAAAGCGGGTTATCCACTAGACCACTTGGCCCATCTCTTGTGGGTTTGCTACCACTCAGTTGACGAGTTCCAAATAGGAAGAAATGCGTATCCTGTATTCCACTGCTAATCACCATCCATCAATTTAAATAACCAGACATCATCGAGGGAGCCGACATGTCAACTTGAGGCACAGGACTTCGGTCCAACCAACCAACATGAACGTCGAGATTGAGCTAAATAACTTTATAGTGGGTTGATGAACCACGCCTTTATCCCTCGAGTAAATGAAGACAAACGACAGGTTCTCTCAGATACAGACTTACTGTTTTAAACAAGTCGGTCGGTCGGTATTCGACATAGAACTTTGCACATATGTGCGGCAGTTCAAGTCGCCTCACTCCCTCTTTGTAGCACACAAAGCAAGAGAAGAAAGTAGGAGAAATGCATAATATAGACAGTAAACAGAGGTGTGAGACAAAGGAATAGTAATAACGGAGAACAAAACAGTTTAATTGGAAATTATAAGTCACAAGGAGTGGATGCATCTGTGCCACTGAGAACGATTTTTAGCCATGTCACCAATTGTTTCCAACCATTGGCTTTTATCGTCCCCAACCAGGAAGTCTACACCTTCCTACGTGGCTTAGACTAACTGTTGTGGATTTCATTGACTGGTGCCATGTTTCCGTTTGACCGCCGCTAGCTCTTTTCCAGCCTGGCCCTATATCAGCTAACATTGGCCGTCGAGGAAGGCGATGATTAGGCAGTTTGTTTGTAAGCCCTTTTCATTGTAGTGTCATTCACAAGAGTAGAAAATTTATATATGTATCAATTATAACGAGCTGTTATATCCGAGAACTGCAGACGATGCAGTTTCATACAGGAATAACCTCACTAGATACTATAACACAACAGTTCAGTATTATTAACTGACTAGTATTTCAAGGACGGTTTATTGTTCATACCAAGTTACTCACAGAACCCCTCTGACTGTGTTACTATAGTTCCATTATCCATCCAGCACCCAATGATTCCCTCAGTAGTAGTTATCTTCGTATTGGTGTTGAATCAATTATTCTGTGTAGTGTTGTCAACTTCATAAGCGAAAAATTCCGTTCCATTCACATAGCTGTAGAACCCTGGAACTATAGCTCTCTGATTGTCTTAGTGCACACATACTGAGGTTTTTCTTCACTGATTCATTCTCTTTCTCTTCCCAGATCTATCGAAACAGCCGATCAGACGTCTGTTACCACAAAATAAGAAAACACAATTACTGCTGCTGCGTTAATGACAACCAATACAATAGGGTAGAACAGAGCTCTGTAGTTCTGAAGGGTAGTAGTAGTAGTAGAGTTAAAGTAAACAGAAAAGCTCATACAACTCTAATAATAACAACTAAATCCATGTGTATTGTTATCAAGTGTGTACACACTGCTGTGCTGGTTGATGATAGTGGTAATAATATGACTATTGCAAATCCAATTTAAGTCATGAAGAAAATAAAAGACTAATTCAGCTAGCGAAGAAAATTTTCTTTATCGACGAAATCATCTTCACAGGCTGTACATTCGTATTTATTTATATTTACCAAAAATGTATAGAGTAGTCTATTATTGAGTAATAAGAGGTGACATAATAACATAACAGCTGCCATCATGCCGTCCAATTCACGTCGAAATCAGAGATGAACTCGGAATTCCGTTTTTTGGAGGTTTTTCTAGAAACGAGATCTGATGATTCTCTTCAAAGATCGATCTACAGGAAACCAACATGGAATGGTCAGTACACGAATTTTCATAGTTGAGTCCCTTTGAGAAGAAAGAGAAACCTGATCCACTCCTTATCCTCAAGAATAAGAAGGATATGTTCCAGTGATACAATCGACGAGGAACTGGAGCGACTTAGACAAGTCCTCATAGAGAATGGATATCCTCCAAGATTTATCGTAGAAAACATGAAGTTAAAGCAAAAGCCTGAAAGAACCCAGACGGTGCCGGAGAAACTGCTATTTATGAGTGTTGAATTTGAAGGTGATACTGCAGCTGAGATCCTGAAGAATCGCTCGTGCAGATCACCGAGGAAAGCCTTCTTTACGGCTGAGCTACGGGCCAATCTCTACAGCCGACAAATGATCAGTGGATGCGTGAGGGATAAACTGCCGCTTCAGTGTGTGTTTATAAATTCACCTGCTAGTGTGGAGCTAGTTATATTGGCCGCACAAAGCGCACACTTTCCAAACACATCCCTGAACATTATCCGGCATGGTTAGCAAGGGGACAATGCAAGACAATTACTAGCTCAATTCTCGAGCATTTGGTAAACTCAAGCCACGTAGCTCCACTAGAGTTAGCTTCCAAGATCATCTACAAGGTGAGGCGAAATGGTACAAAGGGCGTCAGGTTTCGGCTTTTGTGTATGGTGAAGGCGCTGGCGATTCGTCAATACAACCCTGAACTCTGTATATAGAAAAAGTTTTTCCAGTCTCTTATTCTACCTTGGTCTTAACCTCCTCTAGTCGTTCCCTGTAAAACTTTTAAATTTTACTTTAATAATTAATTCACTATTATCACTATGTTCCTTTTGTACCTTTTCACACCCTCTTCACACTTCTCAGTAATTATATGAATTATTTCACCCCCTATTACTCAATAATTGACTACTATACATTTTTGGTAAATATAAATACGACTGTACATACAGCCTCTGAAGATGATTTCGTCGATAAAGAAGCATTTTCTTCGTTGGCTGAATTTGTCTTTTATTTGCTTCATGACTCAATGCAATTTGAGATCTAGCGAATAATTGATTTAAATTGTCTTGCTTTTATTATTACTTTTTTTCACAGGTGATTTTACCGACTGAAGAACTGAAGCTTGCACCTCGTAATGATATTGCGGATTGTGATGTAAGCTCAAGTCAAAATTCGGGAGACTACAAAGATGATCCAAAGTAAGTGAATTAAGAGATTGAAAAGTGTACTGTGTTACCGACTTGACACAGTAGGAATAAATTAATAATGTGTGTACTTTTAAGGAAGATTGAAAGATAACTGCGATAAAATAAATCAGAAACTGGGAAGTCAGTCCATGATAAGTTTGATTGGATATGAGTAACTAGTGTGATGTGTCTAGTCCTTTCTTTAGTGCAGACTGAATTCTATCAGTCAGCTTTGCACTGTGGCCACCATTCTAGGTAGCTCGCCATCTCACGGTGTACATTGATTTGATGATATTAGATGGTTGGAGGCAATCGGCTCGAAGCCTAGGCCCAAGGTTTCCTGCCGATTGCCTCCAGCCATCTAATATCATCAAGTCCGTGATTAGACTAACAGCCTAAAGTCACGCTGTAGTTGAGGGATACAAGTAGTGTTTGCGTCTAACTGTATTATTATTCCGTTGGGTTCGGAGTGAAACTACGAGGACATCAACACCACGCTTCCATCTCATCCTCTTCTCTGCAGTCATTTTTAACTGGCTCCGCAATTGCCATAAGCTTTCATCTCCTCCAGGTCACACTGGGGTGCCTAACTAACTCATTTCCCCCATTTGGAGTCCCATTCAAGGGGTCTGTCTTACAGGCGGTGTCAATCTATCTCCATTTTCCTCTGTATTCGTTACCAGAGTTCCTTGTTGTTAATAATGCTTTCTCGCCGGTCATCTGATCTTCAGTATGTAACGAAGGCGTTGGAAATAGATGGTTTTTGTGACGCCCAAAATTTCTGAAATCCATATGGAAGAAGCGACTTGGCAGTAGTTTTGAAAATCCGATTCTTGTACTTTATGTTGAGTGGGGCAGATTACCACACTAATTTCAGAGTAACTGAGGTTTGTCTTGCCTATCTGATCCTGGCTTCAACATCTCCATTCGCGCCGTCTGTCTGTAGTGAAGTTGAAAGGCTGCTGTTGAGACAGGTGAAATAGACGACTTCCTTAAGATTTCTTCAGCTCATAGTGATCGATAATTTTTCGTTTGTTTATCCCTTCTATCTTCGCCATTTTCATCACGTGAACTCCTGTCTTCGCTGTCTCTTCTTCGGTCGTGTTGTTGAATTTGGTTTGTAAATCTTTGAGTATGTGCGACATATGACAAATATGAGTTTTGTACGGAGTGCTCCGCGCTCCCCACGTTGTTGAGCTGCTTGTTCAAGTCAGCCACAATAAAGAATTTCATCGGTGATAGTAGACAGCCTTGTCTGACTCCTGTATGTCTTCACCGTAAAGGCGTTGGCTGAGGTTTTCGTTGTGAATCACTTGCGGTGCATCATAACTATATAACTGTTGTTGAATGAGACATCTAAAAATGTTTTCGACACCACACTGTTTAGTGTTGAAGCAGATGGTAAATAGCCTCGTAGTTGAACTAATTTGTTGTAGACAACGCTTAGAAGGTGGATGAAGTTGAGGTAGCATAGAAAATTGATTGGCTTACTCGGCAGCTGTAGGTGATGTTGATGTGTCGTATCGTTGGAGTTTTGTCGGCGTATAATGATTTACTTTTGCTTAAATCAGCTTGTCTTCGATTCAGAGCATCCTTAAGTCTATCAGTGATAAGGTGTCTTACTATTTTACTTGTGGCAGACAGAAGCATGTTTCTGCCTCATTCCTTGGAGAATCATCTTAGGTCGGCATTTTTTGGCAGTTTGACAAATTAGGCTTTCTTTCAACCAGGAGGTAGCTTTCCTTCTTTCCAAAAGTTTTTGTAATAGTGGTGCGAGAATATATTCGCTGAGGTCTTGGGATCCGTTGTGGGTGCTTCCGGAGGAATTCCATCTAGTCGTGCTGCCTTCTAGTATTTTTAAGGCATTCTAGATCACGACTTTTGATGTTGGATTTCGAGAGTTCATTGATGTAACGGCAACGAACAACTCTGGGATTGAAGTGAAATTGGCAGCAGTTAATGAAAACACAACACGTAGATAAGCGAAGAGTCTCTTTTTGGCGAATTCATTTTCTTAGCCGTACAATCGCAAATATATGTGCTATTTTGTATGTATGTGTACATTAAGTTTGTCAAACAAAAATACAGTTGGTTATGGTTATTTTAACTAAACAGGTGAAGATTGGTAATCTGAGTTATGAAATACAAAATCAGTCAAGAAAATTAGGTGTTAATGAAATTAGTGCAGTAACAAAGGTGATGAGTTGTTATAAACAGTTGTTAAAAGAAGTTATGTAATAATATGAATAGTTTGATGAGTGAGTTTTACTCAGGATGCACATAGGAAGAAAGTAGAGAATACAAAATTACGTAAGAGTTCTTAAATGAATATACAAGAATTATAAACAATTGAAGAAACAAGCAAATAGACAAAATTAAGTTATCAAAAATCTACAAAGTTGTTACCATGATAATAGAAGTGGTTAAATAATTGATTCTCTTTTATATCCACAGCTCTGATAGGTTATTCTTAACTCTGTAGATTACTTTGAAGGAGGGGTTTGTTGAAATGCAATGATCAAAGGCAACACGGTTTCGTCTTCTTTGTACATATATTTGCGATTGTGCAGCTAAGAAAATGAATTCGCCAAAAAGAGACTCTTCGCTGATCTACGTGTTCTGTTTTCATTAATGCCTGGTTGGGGATTATACATAAATTGGCAGCAGTCTTGTTCTGCAATCCTACAATCTTAACTGTTTTAATTTTTTGTTTAATTCTCTATAGGATTGTAGCATTCCGTCGTGGTAACAAACTCGGCATTAACATTGACTTAATACCCAAAAATACTAGTAAGAGAAGAACATCACGAACTCCAAGTTTAGCTCCGGTTAGTGAAGAACAACAACAAGGCATTGATACAATCCTACAACCTAAATCATCAACTGATGAACTAGTTCCATTAAGAGCAGCTATTCACTTGACATTCGATTACAAGAATACATCGACTACTTTACTGACTGCAGCGGCTGCGGCGGCAGCAGCATCAGCAGCAGCTAACAAAACAAACGATTCAAAATCTCCAAGCAAACCGACAGAAACAACAACCAGTTCTGCTGAGACATCAATATCAAGTGCGCCTACAGCAGCATCTGTTGTCCTAGAACAACAACAACAACGCCCTCCACCACCTCCAGCTGACGAAATTCATCAAATTCAAGTAATAGCATTACTTGATTTTGGTCATATGCCTGTGAAAAATTGAAGAAAAAAAAAGACAGTAAAAACGCATCTGATGGTTATTTCTTTAACACACATATATTACAGAATTCTAGTTCTGCACTCTGTTTGCCTAACTTACTTTATTGTGATCGATTATTTTATTTATTTATACGCTTTGTGAGTGTTGGACTAACACATAATTTGCCCTTTTTCATATTAATAAAGCACTTTGGGTTACTGGTGAATCTGATTTTTAAGTAAAGAGTAATCATAAACTGTTTTTGAACACTCAGGGGAGCGGGTGGTGGGCTTAAGTTTATGCATAGCTATAGTCTCAGAGTATTTCAATAAGCAGTAGCTCCCTTGACCATTTTTATAATAGATGACCTTAAAGGCTGTGTTAACACATCAATCTCATAGTTCATCTCGATAAGATATTTGGCTATAGACGAAGTTGGTAGTTCTCTACCTGGATTTATTGATTTTTTTATAATTTGAGAACACAATATTCAGCGAAGAGACTCTTTTCAACGAATTTATTATCAAGCTGTACAGTCGTATATGTACATGGTTTTTTAAGAAATTATATCTGGTGAAGGGATTAGATCAAAGGTATGAATACATGAAATAATAATAATAGTAGTAAGAAATGCAATTAAAATATTTGTGATTATAATCATAGTTAAATGTCAAGTAGCAAAACAATTAATGTCATATATAGAATATCGAAAGGGGTGTACACTTATAGGATTAGTAGGTGAATATAAAGTGTTACATAACATGGTGGGAAATTTAATAAGATAGAATTCAATATTGTGAAAATAAAAAAAAACAATTTTGGATTTAGAATGACAAGTGGAAACAATTCAGAGTGAGAATAGTAATAATAACAATAATCGTAGTAATAAGGAAAAGGTACATAGAATAACTAAATAAACAAAATTAATAAATGTGTATCCCTCTACGACCAAGGTAGAAGTAAGGATTGTACATAATTCTTTTGTGCACAAAGGTTTGGCTTAAAGTCGTGCATGGATAGCCAAGGCCTCCGTTGTCGTGAAAAGTCTGTAACGAAGAAGACGCGGCTGGCAGGTTAGCATGGATTCGGTAGATGATCTTAGAATCATGGTCAGGGTTGGCAAAATGACAGGAGTCGTTCAGGTGTTCTAGAATAGAGCTTCGCACACACTTCCTTTCTCCCTTGTAAAACCATACAGCTGGAATATGTTCTCGTATCCGTGTGGAAAGCGTCCTTTGGCTACGGCCAATGTACCATGCTTCACAAGAGCAGGTGAACTGATAGATACACATGTAGGCGGCCAGACGGGGAGTTTGTCCTTTACAGAGATGGAGAACAACTTGCGGCTGGTGAAAGTCATTTGTAATTCTGGTGCAAAGAACGTCTTACTGACTGCTCTAGACAGACGGTTTTTCAGCATATCTGAAGCTTGATCACCTTTCAATTCCAAGTTCATGAATAAGTTTTTCTTTGGAACTGAGTCGGTGACCAGTTTAGACTGCTTATCTTTCCTGTTACTGTCAATAAATCGGTTCAGGTAATCGTTTTCTGTGAGCGTGGCTTTTAGGAAGTCAAGTTCTGAGTCAACGCAATCAGAACTACAAATGTTTCTTACCCCAAAGCACAGTGAAGGAATTAGGCTCCTTTTCCTGGAGATAGGTACCCAACTGTAGAAATTAGTTAGTTGTTCGTTCCATGTACGTTTCCGGTGGATGAATCTTTTGAGGGATCCGTCATTACGTCTACTAAGGCACACATCAAAAAACGGAACACTTAGTTCAGATTCCTTTTCTATGGTGAATTGTAAAGAAGGATGGCAGTCGTTGAAAGCACACAAAACATCACCAAGGAGTACGTTATTATCGCAGATAACGAACGTGTCGTCCACGTATCTTTTATAAATGATCGATAGTTTGACTAAGATAAGAGTTTTCAAGCTTTGCCATAAAACAACCAGCCAGAAGGGGACCCAGTGGTGATCCCATGGCAATGTCATCTCTCTGTCTAAAAATCTCACTGCTGAAGGTGAACTGAACCTTTAACGTGCATCTCAATGAAAGTTCTTTGAGGTGGATTGTCGGCAACCCTATTTCTAAACTATGTGTGTCAATATAATCACATATATAGGAAACAGTTTCCATGAGAGAGGCACATTGGTAAATAGCGAAGTCACATATAATGAGAATATGAATTTGTCTGAGACAGTAAAATCTTTAATATTCTCAATAAATTTAAACGTATCATCAATGGGAAACTTAGATACTTGCCTTCTAACTAGTTCCAGTATTTCAGCTAGCCATCGAGCAATTCCGTGATAAGGAGAACCCGCCATGTCAAGAATTGGACGGAGGGGTAATCCTATCTTGTGAGTTTTCAGTAGTCCATACAAACGTGGTATTATGGAGACTACTGGTCTTTCTAACCACTTCGGAATATGCTTTCACATGCAAAGAACGATCACTCCTCCCTATGCATCTGTGTCCACACACGAAAATTGGTAAATAGTGTGGGATGTGACATAATCACTTATGCACTTTTGAGGTTTGCAGTGAAGCATATTTCTGGCCTATTTTGACAATTACAAGCCGGGCTGCATAGGTGGCACGGCGGTTAGGACTCTCACCGACGATGCACCTGGTCCGGGGTTCGATCCCCTGCCGACGCACACCCGATATCAATGGTCCGTCTGCAAATTTTGGACTACCGATATCACATGCTCAAGATTCCATACTTGTACCAAAAATTAAAAAAAAATAATAGGTCCTACGGATGACCAAATTTTACTTTTGTTTCAAAATCCTACTGTTTATTTCACCGTTGTATAGTAATTTGATGAAAACATTTTTCTTAGGGGCAGTATAGATTGTAGGTTTACTTACTAATTGACTACTACACCTGTTTAAAAATTTTAAAGCATATCCGTTACCAAGGAGAGAATGCCAATCAATATTTCATTTTCTTTCTTTATAACATCAGTCGTACAAATACGCTGAATCCTCTTAAATAAGCATTTCACCAAGCCTCTCTTATCCTGTAATGGACAGAAACTGTGAAAATTAAGGTATTAACCTGTCCAAGTAGGCTTTCTGTAGATTGATCGTCTTATTGAACCATCATCTCTTCGACTCTGAAGTATGTCTAAAACTGCAAGCTGGTTTCGACTTTCTTCCTCGCAAATTAGACTTATATGATTCTGTACAGAGTTAAGTTTATCTAATAGACGACTAGCATCTTCATGATCATCACATTTCAAAATGATATCATCTACATATCTCCTATAGAAGGGCAATTTAGAAATTAAATCAAGGGACAAGTTCTCAACATAAGACATGTAAACGTCCGCTAACAAAAGTTCTAATGGACTCTCCATAGCAACGCCAACTTCAAATGTAAAGTGGATGTTGTCAGTACATAATAATAATGATAAATCTTTCATGTCTGCAAGACAGTCAACAAGTTCAAATGTTCAAGTATTGGTTATTTAGGGAATTTTGTTTAATTGGTTGGAGGATTTCATCATGAACTGAAATCGGTTACAGAAAAAACAGAAAACCAGCACTACAGTACTACTGCATAGCTGTTTCGTCAACCTACTTTGGGATTCTTCATCAGCAAGCACCCGCCGCCATGGTTCAAACCCGGGACCTTCTGGTTACAAGGCGAGCTGACTCGTAGACTATCAAGCCACTGGGACCCGATTCAATGGCCAGTTCATGAATTCTAACTTCTGATGTCAACTCATGATGAAATTCTCTAACCAATCAAACGAAATTCCCTACAAAACCAATATTTGAAAATTAATCTGATGCTCACTAGCGACTAGCCCTATTCAGGCAGTTACCTTGGGTTCTAGCGGGAAGCTGTGACCGCTGGGGTGCAGCAGTAACTCATCGAAGAAGACACTGCGAAGTGGTCGCGCTATGTCATGAATTGGAAGAAGTTAGAATTCATGGACTGGCCATTGGATCGGGTCCTAGTGGCTAAGTGATTGCCTTGTAACTAGAAGGTCCAGAATTCGAACCCTGTCGGCGGGTGTTTCTGACGAGGAGTCCCAAACTAGGCTGACGAAACAGCTGTCTAGTACGTACTCCAGTGCTGTTTTTCTAATGGTTCACTAACTGACGTCAGCTCATGATGAAATCTTCCAAACAAAGTTCAAATATATCTTTCAAAGTAAATTCATTGTGTGCGTACTGGGCTTTAAAACATCAGCAAAATGGTTAGCTGATTGATGTATTGAGCAAATACACCACACCACATTTTTCGGATAATCTGTCTTCTTATAACACTAATTGTTTTAATTCTGTAAAACGACTGGTTAGTTGAATGAAGGGAAACAATTTATTTCAAAAAATCATCTGCAGTTTTATGTACAACAATAGGAAAGAATTGTTAGAGGACGTTTAACTTTAAGTTGTGTTGTAAAATGCATTTCCATTCATTCGATACCAACTACGTGCAAACATCCACTTGGGTAGTTTTTTCACTCAGGATATCTTCAACACCCCATAACTCTTCAAAAGCAGTACATATTCGTGAACAGGTTTGAGCAGCTGATAAAGGAAAATTACTGATACTGACTGTACGTTGTAGAAATTCTTTACACGTATCAACAATTGACCCATGAGCTAATGCTCCGATAATAATGACAACAGATTGAGGACCAGATTTCTGTGTACTTTCTGCTAATTGTAACGGTTTAATCTGTTCTTTAGCTGAAAATGATGTAGCAATAATTGGAGCACCAATTGGAAAGTGTCGTGTGATAGGATTTTTTACAACCTTCAGAAGTTTTTCACGATTACCGCCTTCAGCGTGTATTGAAAGTTTGTGCAGCAGTTGTACCATAAGTCCACAGAATCGATCAAATGTACGCGGTATGCGTGTTTTAGGATTAACTTCAATGATGACATTCTTTCTTGTTCTAATGAATACCTTGAAGGAAGAAAGTGAAGGAAAGGCACTTTAATTTCAAAAGAAACTGTGGGCGGTAAACAAGATTAAATATAAACGATATGCAACCCCAATGGCAATGTCGCTACTTTTACCATGATGTCAAATATCTAAAAGAAATCTGTGCTAGGTAAGTAACAAACAAGTTTGGATGCGGTGATCAATATAGGCAGGCAAGAAATAAGTGAGCAGTAGTTGTACTACTCAGATAAGATACATTTATCAATTCAATGAAGTACAATTCGCCTATTGAAATCTACGTGTGAAGAGGAATCCCAAAATAGAATTATATTGCCTTACTAGATGCCGTTCTTAAAAGGAAACCAGATGGTAGTATGAAGAGAAATTCGCATGTAGGAAAAGTACATGGACAGGACAATATTCACATTTTCATAGCCTTGTTCCTCCCCAGTAAAAGAGGAATTTAATAAGGACCCTCAGCCACTGGCTAGCTGGCTGGATTCAACATAGAACTTGGCACCGAAGTGCAGCAGTTCGAGTTGACACGTTCCAAATAGCATACAAAGGTAGACAAGAAAATGAGCGAAGAGAATCAATAGAGTTTTGACAAGTATAAGAGTGAAACAGAATGAGTAATGGTAGAAAGGAATATGAAAGATTACAGAGACTGAATACATCTGCGTAAGCCATTGACAACGATTTTGAGCCATGTCACCTACTGTCTCCAGCCATTGATTCTTAGAGTCCCGAGGGCGGGCCCCAACCCGGAAGTCTGCATCTCCCTACCTAACTCAGTTTAACTGTCATGGATTTCATGGATTGATGAGGCCATGTTTTTGTTTGGCCACCACTTACTCTTTTCCAACCTGCACCTACCTATATCAGCTAGTATTGCCCGTCGAGGGAGGCGATGGTTAGCCATGCGCAGCACGTGACCTAGCCACCTCAATCTATGTAACTTTATAGCCTCTTCGATTGATTTTCCCTCTTTGCCCAACACTCTACGCCTAACGTCAACATTACTTACCTTATTATACCACCTAACGCAAGAAAGAGATCGTAAACATCTGTGGTCAAAAACAGACAACCTTTTCATGTCTTCAACTCGTATTGGCCATGTTTCAGAGCCACAGGGTCTTCTGAACTATATGCTCAGAAGAGGTAACTGAAGATGAACTCAGTATTGTATATACACATATATGTCTTGATTGAAAATAGCTATCCAGAAAAGTTGATCAGGAAGCATACGACCAAGAAAGTAGACAATGATTATTCACTATACGTAAACAAGAAGCCTTTATATAGACGACTGCAATTCAAAGGCGATATACCTAGCGAAATAATTACGAAGAAGTTAAGGAAATCAGCTCAAAGAACTTTTAATACTGGCAAAATACCAGTCATACTTTCTACACGACCGCTTTTCATTCCTCAGTCGGAAGATGAAGTACCTACACCACTTAGTCACTTCTAATTTTATCTACCAATTCAACTGAGTTTCCGGTGGAGCGAATTGTATCGGCCGTTGCTCTAGGAACTTGATTTTTCTTGATCGCTCGGGAATATCTACCAGTGTGCCTAAATAAACGTGTAGTGAGAAACATCAATAGCTCGAGATTAAACTACTTGGTCCAAACCGGCCATAAAGCCAGCATTGAGAAGTCCTTCTCCATCGTCTGTCGGGTGCCAAATAAATTGCCAAAAAGCATCCAGGTACCGAATACTCTAAACAGCAGAGGCTATCGCGATTCACCTGAAACAACTTGTGCAGAAGAAGCAAGTCCAGCGACTACTACTGCCCAGGTTGGCCTTCAGTGGAGACTATAAATTCATGAATTCATATTATTATTATTGTTCCCTTGGGTTCCTAGTGGAACATAGGGCTTCAACTACACGTCTCCACTTGCTTCTGTCTTCTGTTGTACTTTTCACCTGCGTCCATGTTAATCCATACTGTTTCAATTCCTCTTCGCACGATTTCCTCCCTGTCACCCTTGCACCGACGAACCACTCGCCGCTTCCCTTTCGGGTTACACTCGAGCATTGGCCTGACTCGCGATGTCATCTAGCGGCCTCCTCCTCAGCGAGTGTCCAATTCATCTCCACTTTCTCCTGCATGTTTGTTGTGCGATTGGTTCTTGTTTTGTTTGTTCCCGTAGTTTCTTGTTGGTGATTCTTTCCGGCCATCTGATCTTCAGTATAGAACGAAGACAGTTGTTGATAAAGGTCTGCAACCTGTTGGAAATATTCTTGGTGACCCGCCAAGTTTCTGATCCGTATAGCAAAACTGACTTGACGTTTGTATTGAAAATCCGAATTTTGTTGTTGATGCAGGCTGAGTGACGAAGATTTCCAGATTGGTTTCAGGTTGATGAATGTGTCTCTCGCCTTCCCGATTCTCGATTTGACATCCTCGTCCGTTCCTCCTGTAGTTGAGACAATGCTCCCTAGATAAGTGAATGAAGTAACCTCTTTCAAATCCCTCCCGTTGATGGTGATTGGCGCTGGATGTTGTTGTTGCTGTTGTTGGTTGGTTGGTTGTTTATTTTCATAACCTGTTTTGTCTTTGTTCACCTGGAGGCCTGTCTTTGCTGCTTCTCCGACCAGTTTGTCGGTTTTCGCTTAGATTTCTAGCCGGTCCCAAGCCCGAATAAAGAGGGAGGGTTGGGGCGTGGTGCTAGCAACTCCACCCCCAAAACTTAACCAAATTGCTACAGAAACTCCAACGCACAAATATATTAAAAATACTAAAAATTCATATTATTACTTTTTCTAATTTATCTGTCTGATACTCAGTGTGTTGTTATATTGATGCTATCAAACTGTAAACCACTGATATTATTATTGATTCGACTTTATTTAGGCATTAATGTTGTTAATAACACTTATTTATTCACTATTATGGATGCATATAACTGTAGAACCTGATGGAGAGCAGGTTATCGAAAAGAATATTCTTTTTCAGTAACTATTCTCTCGTAAAAAAATTTAATGGACATTTTTAATCAGTTCAATTACAAGTATAAATAATTACTAACTTTGGAGGATATATATACATATATCCAAGTTAATTGCTTCGGTGCTGCAATGGCAGTTCAAAAAGCCTACATTTAACTGCTAGTTTGTCACTTCTAAAGATAATCTGGGCATGATGATTGACGAGGTTGGCTTGTTAACTATTTCTTAATCCAAGTGTAACCTGCTGTGGCATGGCATCACTATCCATTTTGTGCTTAGTTGATTCATCAATGAAGAAACTTTATCACAAAAATGCATTTAGGCTATCTTCTCTATCATGACAGCACTTAAGCAATAAATTCAATAATTCACTTGGAGAAGAAGATATAAGCTAGAACAAAAACCAACTACGGAACTCGTCGTCTACTCCAGTACGTAGATGACAGTACAGCAATATAACTGAGACGAATGATCATCACTAAATTCCAAAACTTTTGAGATAAGATTTAAAAAACTAGTGAGTTTGTCTTAACTTGTACAGGACTTCAAATCTACACTGACCAACTACGAGACATTTTTGTGGAGTACAACTAAAGAAAGGTTGTCTAATCAGCAAAAGTAGATATCAATTTTGACCATTGCATTACTTTACACACTTCAGAGCAGGTAAATGATAAAGCAAATGAACAAAAAGAAGAAATATGTCTAAAGTACGAATGCAGAAGTTTATATCAATGAAAATATTTGAATTATCTTTAAAAAAACAGTAGATACACTTGCTGCAGTGTTAATAACTTCTGAGTCATATTACTCAATTCATGAAAAATTCCCATTGGTACATATAGAAAATGAAGACAAGTGAATCAGTGAAAAGACTATTTTCAGTGAATTTATTACCAAGCTGAACAATGGTATATATATTGGTTTCTATATTAAGAAATTATATCCGGTGAGGGAATCCAGTCATAGGTGTGAGTGCACTACATACATCAGCTATGCAACGTTTGTTGCAGTTTAGAATTCACGAAATTCACGTAAAGTGAAGCACCAATAAAACTGTCTCAGGTAGGCATTGTTATGATAAAAATACTAATATAAAAGTGAACACCAACCTGTAATTTCCCGGTTCGGTTTAGAGGGCTGTCAAGCAACATAAGAAGACACTGATGAGCAATATCGGGACGAACTGTAGAAACATCTATTCCAGACTTCAAAATTCGGTCTTTGTGCCTGTCAGGATTAAGAAGTTGAAACTCTTTCCCGCTAGCTGCCTTGACTGACTCAAGTGAGGCTTGGTCAAGAAGAACATAAAGTTTTGGATCACTTTCACCTGTCATGTATATTGAGGATAAACACGCTACAGCGCTTCAAGACAAATTGTGCGGGGTGAATGTCTAATGTCCAATTGGATATCGGATGCATACCTTACTAGCCAGACAGACCAAATTAAATTCATTAGGTCCTTTCCCAAGTGTAGAGATTATCAAACCTAATCTATGTTGAGTTTATCAGCGGATCTCTTCTCTGAATCACTTGTTTCGATTTTGTATAAGAAGGTGGAATGTCGTGTTTTAGGACCATGACATTGAGGTGACTGAAGTATGTCCTTTCGCCAATTTTCAAAAGATCAGCGAAATATTTCGTATGGTGATTCTGCCCATTTCTTTAACTGAATGGACCAGAAATGCAAAATAAGTTTTCGTGATATCTGCTATACATCTTGAACGCGGGTATGTGTTTAGTCGATAAAACTAATCAGATATGGAATATGAGATTTAAGGAGGCCATCGAGAGATCATTCCTTGTTTCGAGACATCCACAAGCACAAGAAGGTAAACAGTGGTATCACTTGACAAAATAAACCCGACAGTACGTCAAAATGTCTCGCATTCCGATTTCATTATCATTATCAGACAGAGGCAATCGGAAATGTTATATGAGTTCTTGAGTTTTGATTTTCGGTTGAAACCTGACAGGATAAATACGAAATGTTAAACGGATTCGAGGGGTGCCATACGCCAACTCTGCCTCATTAGGAATATTATCAATTACTGTTTCCTTCTGAGGGTAGACAAGTTTATGGAAAGATTACAGTCCACCCGATTAACAGAATGTAACGTGATCTCGATAGAAGTAGGTTAAGTCTAGCTGCTTCCGTATACACTTTTAGTTGTCGTAGATCTGGTACTCATCCTCTGAAACCAACATTTAACCAGATTATTTGAATTACTTACTGGAATTTCGTAAAAACGCATAGTTGGACAACCTAATGTTAGGTTTTAGGAGCTTCATATAATTTTCTTCTATTCTTTTGTCTTTTAGTTTTTCTACTTGTGTTTTTCACTCTTAAATGCGTGTATAGGCAGTGAAAATAACCCCTAAGTAGCATTTAAGCGAGGACTTCCTGGTCGAATTTATGCTGCGGTGGTTTAGACTAGCTGTGCAGAGCAATTCGGAACCAGCTTACGGATTAAGTTAGGAGGCAGGTCTCAGCAACTCCAGCAATCAGCCCAGAACAATTAAACCTAAAGGTACCCAATAATTGTTGGTTCAGTCAAAGTCTCCAGTAGAAACTAACTTTACTATGGGTAAATGACGTGCTACTACGTCGTCGGTGACCTGCATGGTACCACTTATGGAAGCAGAACACGAAAAGCATGTCACACACGGGAATACCCTTTAACGATTAAGGCAAACAGGGCTGATGGGTGAAGATAAACTGTCGTAGTTTCTAGCATACTGACATGTAGCTATAAAATACCTGCTAATAAGCACCATTTAGACCGACAGCAGTGGAGAGCCGACCAGCTTATATAGGCCTAAAAGAGAAGTATGTCACCATATTAGAAACATCTGAAATCAGTTGAGGAGTCACAAAAAACCTTGCTATTATCATAAGTGTCTGATATAAGTGTGGTAGCAGGCAGACCACGGGTCATACCTGAAGCATCACTGAAAGCACAGGATGAGGTCAAAACAGCAGATGTAGCCAAACGCTGTGCTCCGGAACTGGTAACTGCTGATATATGTGATAAGTATCTTTATGACGTGCAACAGTGACAGTGGATATCCATAAATCTATAATCTGCATGCCTAAAAGCCATAAGCAAAGTTCCTTTGATAGAGTGAACTGTCAAGGACAATCTGAGCTCTACCTTCCTATGATGCATGACAACAACAGAAAAGCCCATACCGGTGATCCAGATCGGCCAAGATTGGAACCTAGCGCTGTTGCCAAAAGACTAATCACTACCCCCAGAATATCATGTGCCGTAACATACTCGAGGATATCAGAAAACAGATAGGAAAATCCACGACTATTAATTTCTCCACTGACAGTGAACCAGGACTACAGGGTCGCTAAGCACAAAGTCTATGAACTAACGTCAGCATAAATCATAAAAATACTTCAGAATATTTTTCTCCTGGTGTCTGTCAAATAGCAGCTGATTAGGTCATGACCGCTGTTGTTACTTCCTGCCAAAATGGAGATCCGTTCAGGAAAACAAACTTCGTGTTACTCATTCAGCCCTCACCGACGTTCACATCATAAATTGCTTGCCTGAGAGCGAAAGCGAGCTCTTATGCTGCAGAAAGCACACACATGACCAAGTAATACCTGTTTACAAGCCGATTCTTCTATCAAAATAACTACCTAAGTTGCTTACCGACAACTTGCATTACTGAAGAAGACCGATCCTGTTTTTAAACCATTATATTTCGAAGCGCCGCAGTCAGCATGTGAAGCTAGAAGCCTAATAAAACACAGAGAAGTGTACGAATCACATAAAAGACAAAGAAAGCCTTGTAAATCATGAAGATGTAGTTCCTGCTTAGTTCTCCCTTAATTCCGAAATCACTTACTAGGTATGTGACCATAGTGTAATGCGTTGTTGAGGTCCTACATCAGCCTTGCCCTCATAACGACTTCCCTAAGAATGTCAGTTCTGTTAAGTTGTCTTCTGGACCTATATCTGGAGTTTTCCGTTGAGTGCGGGTTTCTTTCATTGATGAGGTTAGACTTGAGCTGGACTACTTTTATGACACAGAGATGAGAACCAACTGGAGACAGCATTCAAAAAAACGATTTATTGAATAAGCAGGTGAGTAAATATGTTTCTCCATTTTACTACTACTACGCCACATTGCCAATGAGGGGTTATGTGCTTACGCACGTGACTGCTTGTACCATAAGCCAAATACTTGAACTGTCGGAAAATTTATGCCATGTCTGATCGTTTTTGTAAAAGTGGAATACATTTCACGCAGGCTTGTTTTAAGAAACATAAACCATTCCTACTGAACGACAGTAGTGGTATTTCCTACCTGAGGGCTTCAGAAATCATAGGCCCATTTTAAGTGTAAGCTTAGGAACTATTCCTGCCTCCATTTGTGACTGCGGATAAAACAACAGCAGTCAACACAAAAATCACTAACAAGCAAGAAACTTCGTTTGTGTAATTTCCACATGGCGAAATAACGGAAACGAAACCGGTGCAAGAACAGAATGTGGGGAAACAAAGACATAACTTGCCACAATATCTCTTGGACAGACATGCTTTTATTGGACACCAATTGTACCTTAGCAACTACAGTCTACCGTTCGGAAAAGAGTGTGGAGATATTTTATTCATAGTGACGGGGACCTATTAGTGTCCACAATTCTCATCAGAACAACTCAAATTTCTAAACGTTCTCAATATTGAGTATATGATCGAATGTGGTGGAAACCCTTTTAATTAATGAATCTAAAGCATATATGTGCTTCATATGATCTCGCAGAGATACTGTGCAGATTTTCTCAAAATTGTAAGGTTGTAGCACCCTTATATTAAGCCTAACTGTATGCTTATAAAACTAATTCATGAACGCATGTTATAAGCTTGCAGAAACTAACTTTACTTATGCTTGTTGAATATTTGCATTGTATTATTGGACTTTACTTTTCTTCGTTAAACATGTATTTTATACGGTTACACCCCTTTCGTTCCTTTTCGCTTTTTTCGAAATTCGATTTCGTTAGCAATACATCCCTTCAAGTTTTCACTTAATGCGACGTTGTTCTTTTTTGACCGTGCACAACGTTAGCACATCGTAGAACTTGAAAACGTGGTTGCACCATAATATTATGGCCAGAATCATCTTTAAAATGTCATGGGGTAATCCAATCCCATGTGAAATGTAATTTACTAAATCCCCAGCGTGAACAAGTTGTAGTGTAGATTTTAATATTTATACTTACAATAAAAATGATGTCAAAATCATACAAATAAATCACTCATTTTAAATTAATACCCAATTTGAACATAAAACAAGAACAAGATACTATGCCGCACACAACAAAGTTTATGGAGGAATTGACTTCAAGCTTTATTTTTTCCCCAAATATTTGTAATTTATCTAACACATACTTGGGTTTTTTGTTAGTGCCAAGACAATATTTCCATATATCAGATTCTAAATATATCAGATTGTACTCACTAACTAATGTCAGAGAGGACAGCAACCATGTAATTTCACCATAAATCAAATTCACGTAATGTAAATAATACTTATCCATGCCTGTACAACTGATGTGTCCTACATAGATAGGAATAAATATATATATGCTGATTATCCTGGTGGGCCACAACTTAAAATAATGAGGGAATTCTAAACAGAAATATCCATTATTTTTTTCAGCCCCATCACTTCCGACGGCTTGTAATATCTACTTTGAAACATCGTCATATATATTGAAACCTTAGTCAGCACAAATGAATTTGAGTGTGTAAACATGAAAACGACTACATGTTCATGAGTAGATTATTTAGATCTACCACGATTAATATTTATACAGTGTATGTATATTATGCGCGTGATCTTTCGAAGTATATCCAGACTACTGGAGGTAAAAAGCGATTGTACCATGTGGTTTTATTACTCGTAACCGTTTAATAGTGTCTATGAAATAGCGTGCCTCAAGTGCTGCACTATGAGAATAAACAGGCCCGGAAAACTGTGGAGCTGTGGGATGGAAGTGGATAGAGGCTGCTGCTTGAAGGTATCCATTTCATTTGACATTGGCGAGATCTCAGTGACGTCATTGACATGTCTTAGGAACTTTATCTCCTCCCCAAAGGTGAACTTTGATTGGCATGCCGTTATCTTCTAGTTTTCGTAACATTGACCGAATTCAACCTCCATGTAAGTTTGTATCTGGGCCAGTAATGAGTAGGTCAGATACACAAAAAAGTATGAAATTAAAACAACCGGCTTGTGGATAATTGTATTAAAACCATAAGTGGACATCATGATAGTAAGAACTATATGGGTAGCATTATACATTGC